GATTAGTTTGTCTTCTTTCTTAGACATGGTGCTTATCATCATTATAGAGCTGAGGTTGAACTTTTTTTTTGTCTAGGTGGAGCTACTTTTTATGATCACATTAATCACTCTCATAATTAGCTTGATATTGTCAATTCAACCCTCTTCCTAATTCAATTTTTCCCTTTGGGCATCCCTTCTTCCTTAATCGAATCTTCCCTTTTTGCCTCTGGTGGGTGCTCTATGGTCATTTCTGTAGTCTCTTCTAAATCGATTTTGTCTTCTCTATTTGACAAACCTTTTCAGTTGACCTCGCCTAATCAAGGCTTCAATATTATTTTTTAGGTCGACACAGTCTTTTGTATTATGGCTAATGTCTTGATGAAAGGTGTATTTTTTGGTCAAATCCTGTCTTATATTTTGTCTCAATGGTTTAGGCCATCTGAGGTTAGAATTTTTTTCTATTTGCATCAGAATCCTCTCACAGGAGGTATTCAATGCAATGTAGCTTCTTTCTCTGTAGGGGCTTCTAGCCCTATGTTATTTTCCGTTTGGGGGAAAATCATAGAATTCCTTACCTTTTTTTATGACAAGAAGAAAGGATGAGACTCTCTTACCTTGACCATTGAGATAGGGGAATGAACCTCTCTCATCTCAGTTTATTTTCATTGTAGCTTTAGTATTGATATATTTTTCTGCTATTAGCAAGACGTGGACTATAGTAGGGGTGTAAATGATATATTAGTACTCATAAGCTACTCGGGTTCGACTCAAATAAAATTTAAATTCATCTTGATTATTATCAAGCTGAGTTTGAGCTCGAGTAGCTCGACTCATCGATCAAACCGAGTTAAAGATTTTTATACCCGACTCGAGTAGCTCATGAGCTTAATCGAGCTTTTATATTTAAATATATTTTTATTATTTTAATTAATTAAATATCTCAAGCTAGAGCTCGAGCATAAATTATCAAGCTTTTGTCAAATATAAGAATAGAGCTTATTTTTACATATTAATTGAGCCTAATCGAATGAGCTTGAATAGCTCAATTTTTATCTCGAGTCGAGCTCGAGCTAGAAAAATGAAACTCGATCGAGTTCGAGCCGACTATCGAGCTTCGAATTTTGAATCAAGCTCGAGCTTAATATTTTATCGACTTGAACTCGATCAATTACACCCATAGATCAGAGTTTTAAGTGATTCTAGAGACAATATTAACTTTAAGTGGTACTCTTTATCATTAAATCCACTGATCAATGTGGCAATAATGGTTATCCATTCTAGGTCTTTGACCTGTAGAGCTTTTATGTTAAAACAAGTAACATAACTTTTTAAAGTTTCATTTCGCCTTTGATGAATTGACATCAAGCTTAGGGTTATTTTCTTAGCTCTTCAGCTACTTACGAATTGAGATAGAAATAAGTAGCCGAGCTCCTTGAAGTAGTGATTGACCTCGGCTTCAGACTATTATACCAAGATCGAGCTATGCCTTTCAAAGTAATAGCCAGACCTTTGCCCATTAGAGCCCCATCTACTCCCTGTATCATCATGTTAGTCCTATAAAGTTTTAAATGATCAAATAGATCAAAAGTACATCATATGTCTCCAAGGTAGGCATTTTGAATCCCTTAAGAGGTACGACTCTATCTATCTCTTTGGTAAAGAGTGAGGTTTTCAAAAATTTGAGCTCATCCTCAAATGTTGTTGGCTTCATTTTCAACTCTTTCTCCATGGCCCGTATTCGAGCTTCAAAATCTTTGTTCGATTGGGGTTCATAATTTGTTTGTTTGAACTTTTAGATTGTGGCATGTGTAGAATTGTAGCTAAGGTGGTGAGGGGTTAGATTGGTGTGCTATTTTTCTTTGGAGGCCGATGAGGCTTCCGCCTCTTTATAGCTCAGCTGCCCAACAACATCTTTTCAACTTAGTGTGACTAAATCTGAAATTTTGAAGACTTACAGTGGGGTTATAGTTTGCAGCATCTCTTTGAGGGCTTATATTTGCTCGGTCAGGGCTTGAAATTGTTTCATGGTTGGCTCAACTTATGGTTGAACTAGGTGGATAGAGTGTTGGTATTGGTGAATTTTTGTTCCAACTAGAGTGGGTATCTCTCCTTCCTCTTAGGTTTTTTTTTTATGGGTAATATTGTTTTGTGCTCGATTGTTATGAAAATGCTAGTCCCTTACCCGATGCGCCAAATATTGGTGCCAAACTTTGACCTGAGGGTACTCCTATAAAAGAAAAAAAGAGGAATGGTTATAGGTAAAGGCATTGGGTGTTCCCTGCGTTTGCACTTTAATGTGCAAGTCAGTAAGGATCAAGTTGAAAACGAGGTGAAAAATAGAAAATAGTAAAAGGTATAAGTTTTTTTATTCTAGCTTCTTGATGCCTAAGTTTTCGTATTTATAGGCAATGTGAGGGGGATAAGAAAAAGGACAATTAAGATACGTCGAGCTGAGGTGGCACTGAAGATGTCAGACTGACCTGACATATCAGGTCAACACAAATGACCAAGATATCTTTGATTGTCTGCTGGATACTGAAAGAGAAAAAAAGATCACTATGTCATTTTGACCATTATGTGCCCCTAACACAATTTTATAATCAAAACCATTCCTAGTATAATTGAAGAATTTTTTTTTTTTTTATGATTAAGTAATTAACTAAAAGAGATAACTAAATAAATAATAAAATAAATTAATATTTGTAATTTTACTTTTGTGATGTTTTAATGTATTATTATTTTTTTAAATAATAATATTTTTTATTAAAATTTATTTATTTTGTTATATATTTTATATTTCATAAGTTTGATAACATTTTATCAAATAATATTTATAATTGTTATTTTTTAAAATATTAAATATTTTTATTAATTTTTATAATTTTTAATACTTAAAATCTTAATCATTATTTTAATATAATTTAATGTGTCAATATTTTGATTGGATAAATTTTTATAATTATAAATGTTAAATAACAATAAATAATATATAAATAATTTATTATTATATTTTTATATTAATATTTTTAATGATCATTTTAAGTTTTCACCACATTTCATATTATTGTCATCGCTATAGTAATTAATTTCATCCAAACACATATTTTACCATTAATCTTAATTTTATTATTATAATAATTAATTTTACTATTATAATAACAAATGTCGTTATCACTATTATTTTTAATCTCACAAGTAATTTCATTATCCATCTCATTCACCCTTTATCAATTGAACTAACTTGCACTTAGACATGTTAAGAAATTTGGTTACTTGTGAAAATTGCGAATTTGACTCAAGTCAGATCAAACTTTGGATAAGATTTTATGATTATGCTTGACCTGATCCTAAAATATATTAATTAATAAAAAATATATTCTAATTGAGAAAATTTAAGGAAGAACAGTAACATTTAATCTCAACTTTCCTATAGGGATAATCTTTGTAAATATTTTTCTTTAGGGAACGTAAAATGTAGATTATTATGAATAATTGTATTTATTAGGAAAAATAATCAACATTTTACTTTGGGATTAAGATGAAATTTATTATTATATTATGAGTCAATATTGAATTTTACTTCAATTTCGTTAAATTTCCTTTAGTGTACTTTTAATTTTGTTTATTTTCAAACGTAAAGAAATGGAATTGAAAAGAATTTACTATTTACATTAATAAAATATTTTGTAAAATACTTCAATTTCATTAATTTTTTATAAAATCAATAAAATAAAAAGTATAGTGAAAAAATTTGTCAATCGTTATTAACAAAATATTTAGTAAAACATTTCAATTTTATTTTATTTTTTTCCAAAAATCAATAAAATTAAAAATAAAATGATAAAATTTAATAAAATTTAATAAACCTTAGGTATAACAACAAAATTTAATATCGAATCAAAGTATAGTAAAATTCACTTCAATCCCTTTAACTTTTTATTATTATGTTTTTTAAATGATCATTCCAAACTTGATTTATTTTTTAACTTATAACTTTAGATAACTTATATGTAAATTAATATTTTCATATTTTAGTGGCAATTTGATGGTTGGAAATTGTCATTTTATCACCCAAAGTGCTTAATTAAATAATAATACTTGCTACCAAAAAGATTTATTTATATATAGATACACACACACACATACACTCCAACACCACGTGCATGGCATTTACTTGGTCAGAATTGAAGTTTTTAAATTGTCTTGGTAAAATACAATGACTCATGCTCAATGTTGAATTTTGTTGGCCTAAGTTTTCGTAGTCTAACAATATGAAGGATTTTAACGGGTAAGGCCATGTTTGGTGGTTAGTTGATGTCCATTAGAAGAACATCAGTTACCTAGTTGTAAGATATAATATAACTAATATCCCATCCATTATTGAACTCACCAATCACCTTACTAATTCCTTTTTATAACGTCCAAAGGATTGAATCCGACCCTGGACTCATCCCTTGGCCATCCTAATCCTTCCCTATCCCCCTCTATAAATAAGCTCATTTAGGTTTTCATTTTCGCCCAATAACAACCATGATTCTCCTATGCTCATCTCCCTCATCACCTGGTCTCAATCTTCTAAACATCATCACCTGGTCTCAATCTTCTAAACACTCCCAGTCTCTGGTTAAACCGCCGTCTAGTTCCAAACTCCCACCACAGCCGACACAGTCATCAACCAATCGATACCTTCTACCGCCAGCGACACCCACCACAGGCGACCGCACTCTTCCACCAGCTCACCCGACTGCACCTTTTCAGTTCATCCTTTCATTCTACCGACCCTTCCAACTCAACTTCCATCATTGCAACAATACCATATCCATCCAAATTCCGAACGAACCACTCCATCAGATCAACCGGAACCTTGTAAAGCCAAACAATCACAGCATGTCTTATCGCTCTATGCTAACATGTTAGCCAAACAACTTTAGTAAACCTATCAACTCAGTTTCAATCAAACAAATTGACCAGATTGATGAAATGATTAAAACAGAATCATATAATAAAGTTGTGATCAATTATCCCTTTAATCATCATCCACATTAATGAATTTCATCATTCACACCTTTAACTTTCACATAAGTAAATAGCAAAGCTAACATCAAACCAATCATACTATATAAAACCAGTTAAGTCAATAGATTGAAATATTACTAAGAGTAAGCACACACCAATAGAAAAGAGTGCCGGGCAAAGGTCAAATTGCCTTATACAACAGACCGTTTTTTGATAAATTTTTTGTTTAGTAGCATAAAAGAGAGTTTCTTGCACTCTAATGCAGCTTCCCTGGTCCAGAATGCAGCTGGAGTGTCCTGCTCGGGACAACTTGAAGAACACCGGGTTGCTCTGCCACAAACAATTATTATGCAATCAAATTATTATCATACTGAATGTTCTAATATGGCAACTTATACTGAGAACTTCTATGTTCAAGAAAAAAAGGTATATGCAACAATTAACTAGAAAGGCCTAGCCTGATGTTATACCAGGCTTTCTATGATTCCATCTCACAACAAAACCAATCTGCCAGGCAAAACCTAGACACCATGCCAAATCACAATAACTCAATGCAGCATCATTTGTACCTAACTTTTCTTTCTAAATTTATTTTCCTCTTCTATTGAAAAGTGTCAAGCATTCTCTTCGAGCCTTATACCTGAATATTCCTTCTATTAATACATAAATAACTAGCAGAGAGCTTTCTCATTTTTTGACACATACATCCATTAACACAATCTAAATCTTTTAATTATCCAGCAGCATTGCCTGAAGGCACAGAAAAGAGTGAAATGCCCTCAACCTAAATAATAAAAGCATGTTATCCAGAGGCAAATCCATGTTGTCGGGTGGGGTGTCAATGTACACTCCAAAGATTGGAAAAAAAAAATTTTTGAAGGAAAATTTCCCCTGGACACCCCCAAAAAGGTATCCAAAAATTTTCCTGGACGCTCTTTCTATTGATAAAATTGGTAAATCCATAGACAATTATATATATATATATATATATTATAAGTAGACACCTCCAAAAAACAAATCCCTGACCCTCAACTTACATTATCCCATCACAATTTGCTCAAACCAGGCCTTGAACCACAAAAGGCTCCTCAACCAAAAAAAAAAAAAAAAGGCAAAGACATTTAGAAAACAAAAGACTTTTTAATTATAATGCATTAGCAATTCACAAGAGATTGGTGGTACTGGAAAAAATATAGAAAGTATGACCTTCAAAGATAGAATAGCAAAAAATGGGAAATAGAAGACCAAGCAGTTTATAAGTTGTATTTCTATGAACTGAGTGGTAATACATTGTAACTTAGAAAAAAAAAATTACTTATTTGAGATTTCTAAACATCTTACACATATTAAAAGTAAAAATCCGTTCAAGAACTTTGTAACAAAGGAGAAAACAAACTCAATTCATTAATTTTAGAAAATCATGCATCAAGCAACTAAATGGCTGCCTCTCATTACAAGTTTTTTTTTTTTTCTTTTGGTTATGCATTGAATTCTTCATCATCCCGAGGATGCTCCATGCAAAACCTCAAGATCTTTTTCATAAATATGCTACTACATTCTGACAGTTCTCAATGATTTTCTAGTCATTTGAGTTTAAAACTACACAAAAAGAGATAAGTAAATCACCCAAGATTAAACTTTCAAGTTTGAAGTCTTAAATTCTAACAGTTGGGATGTTCTTTTGGAGATTATTATTCCTCAATGATGGATTGCATTAAAAATTGAACTCCGTTTATGTATTGGTATTTTCATTTTAATGATAAAAGATTACTAATTCACAAAGCAAAGGCATACTTTCCTGAGAAAAACTAAAAGCATGAAAAAAAAAAAAAAGCAAAAGGGTACACAAAAACCCTAAACTAAAATTCACTAATCATCCAAACCCTTTTTTTTTTTTTTGCAATCAATTAAACCTTCAAACATCTATTTTCATCAATTGAGTCCATACTAGAGGAAAATTATATAACTGTGTCCATCCAATCAAGGGTTTAATTGAGTGAAAACAGTTTTACAAGGGTTAAATTGAGTGAAAATAAATGTTTAATGGTTCAATTGATTCCAAATAGAAGATTTTGATTGTAATAAAATATTAGGGGCTTAACAATTATTGAATTTTTTAAGAATTTTTTGGCCCTAATACCTAAAAAAAATCATCACGAAATAAATATATATAACAATAAAATTATACTTAATTTTTCATGTTTGCGAGCTCATCCTAATTCCTAAAATTAGGGTAAAAAAAGGCACTCACTTGACATTTCTGCAACCTGTTCAGGAGTCAGCTTGGCGGAGAAACCGCTGGCAGCCGTCTTGTAACTGTATATCAACGCCTCCTTAGCAGCCTCCTCGCTGCCGAGTACGGAGGCGAGGGTTCGGATGTGGTAGGCTTCAGGCTGCTCATCCTGAGGCTTCTCGGTGTAAACGATGTGGACCGCCGCCGATGATGATGATTTTGATGGATCTCCAGATTCAGCCATATCGATCAAACCTATTATCAAACAGAAGAAAATCAGAAATATAAATTTCCGCATAGAAAGGATCTGTTTTGGCTCTGCCTTTCCCCTTTTTATAGACTCTTAAAAATTAAGAAGATTTCAGGCTTCGAAGAATTTTGATTTTTCTGCATACTTAGACATTAAGTTAAAATGTTTGTATTTATCCCATTTTTCCATTACGTGTCGGCTTCGTGCTTCGATAACTCCGCTTGCACAAACGTATTTTTGTATTTTTTTATTTAAAAATTTTTAACTCATTTTTTAAATAAATAAATATCAAATAATTCAGTTACTAACTTACTATGCAATAAAATGCATAAATATTAGGGTTGAATTGAAAGAAAAAGACTTATATAAAATTTTATAAATAAAGTTGTTAAAAATTTTTATTAGAAATGAGTTAATAAAAATTAAAATTATTATATAAAATTTTATAAGTAAAGTTATTAAAAATTAAAAAAAAGTGTAAATAAAATTAAAAATTAAAATCGATAAAATAAAAAATTTTATTAGATAAATCAACTGCATATAATATAAAAAATTTTAATAAATTTTGATGTATTTGTTAAATAAACACATTTAAAATAAAAATTAATAAAATTTTTATTGTTGAATAAGTATCAATTAAATTTGAATTATAAACATTATTTTTAATAATTTTTTTATAGATTATTAAATTTCATATTAAACTCTATTAATTTATCAATTTAAATTTTTTATTAAAATTTTTATTTACTTATTTTAATATGAAATTTCACTAATTTAACCTATAAAACTTTATATAAATTTTATCCTAAATTAAAGTTCCTATGTTATTTTTAAGCTACGATATTAATTATTTTGTTTTCATCTCTTTAATAGTTTACAAAATTATAAAAAAAAATTATATAATTTATTTTTATTTTATTTTATTCATTTTTATTAAATTTATTTATTTTTATTTTATTAACACAAGTATCTTTTAATTTTATTTATTTTTCATTTAAAACTTATGATTTAATTTAATAAAATTGATTTTTTTTATTAAATATATATAAAAATATTATCAAATAAACTTTTAACATATTACAGCATTTCTATATCAAATTTATCAAAAATTATTTTAACTTTTCTTTACAACATTTTTAAAATCTCCATCAACACTTTTTATAAAAATCGCAGCCAAATCTAGTAATAGAAACTAATGGATTTTTTTTCTTGATAAATATGTTAAAAATGACGTTTTAGTTTATTACTGGGTCCAAGAAATGGAATATTACTACATTGGTTGGTTCGAAAACAAAATGGAAGACAAAGTTATGTGTTTTTTTTTTTTTTTTTTGGAATTTTTAATTTACCATTAATCCCACCCGATCCAATTAAAGACATAAATAATGCATTAATGTTAATAGGATATTCAGAGTCTAAAATTTAAATTTAAATTAATTATTATTAAATTATGCTCGAATTCAAACGTTTCGATTTATTAAATAAATCGAATTTAAATATTTTAATATTTGATTTGAATAATTCACGAACCGAATTCAAATATTTTAATATTTGATTCGAATAATTTATAATTTTAATTAATTTTTTTATATTTTAATATATATTTTAAATAAAAAATTATTATTTTATTTATATATATATATAAATTCGAGTTTAAATTTAAAATTTAACATAAATAATCAAATTTAAAATCAAATAAAAAATTTTAATTTACTTTTTATTCTATCAACAAACATAATTAAATGAATTCAAATAATTTAATTTTTATTTTAAATCAAATTTAAATATAAAAATTAAAATTTAATTTAACTTGAATTGAATTACGAACAATGAGATGACTCAAGTTTCTTATTGTTATTGTATAGACTCGACAGGATTACACCCTAGCTACAGCATACTTACCCGCGGGAGAACATTACATCTCGAACCATGTCAACCTCCTGTTGCAGCATACTCATGTGATCCGAGCTGAACTCAGTTGGCGACAAAGTTATGTTTTTAATTAAAAAAAAAAAAAGAAGAAAGCATCTAAACACATAAATAAATTAATACTAGCAAAAGCCACACCAACGGGGCGGGTTTATCAAACAACTTGGCTGGTGGCACATCTCACAATCTGAAATTGAGTACATTCCTCTGGAATTTGACCAACGCAACAGCCAAGGAGAGCAAAACGGTTAAACCGATGAAAAACAAGCAGTGTAGATCATCCATGAGAATACGTCTTGATCATTGCACTTGACAACCTTTTTCCAATATCATTATTTGGCTGCCATAAGAGAATCCCAGACAAGAACAAAGAGCAGTAAGATGCAGAAGCAATAAACCAAGTTGAATCAACAATATTTTCAATGTCCTCTGTATCATCATCCATCCGAGAACAATGATTGCTGCTATACGTTACTGCCTCCATCCATAAAATACAACAAAATCTTATGAAATATGCAACAATATCTTGCCAGTTCCTATCAGCAAAGGAAGCTTATTGCTTGACCCTCTGGTGAATGCGATTCTCACCCTTAGGCAAGCCACTTTTGTTATGATCCGGAGCCCGAAATTTCAAGTAGCAATCTCTTTGGTAACATGCAAGCTTAAAAAAAGCATAAGCTGCCTGCTGCCTACGTAATCCACCCACTAATTCATACATTGACAATGCCTCCCTAATGGCCCCATTGGCTGTTATTTCATGATTTCTCAACTCTTTCCTTGCTCTTCTTTGACATGGCATAGAAGTCTCTTCAAGAGCACAATTTTCATAAACCTCAGCAGTTACATCTTCTCTCGCTAAAAGCATCCCAAGCCTCAGATATGTATGAGCAAACTGTCTATAGACTTCATTCTTCTGCCGGTTTGACTCAGAGCCACAGTCTGCCTCTTCCACTATACCATTCATTTCAGACTTCGCTGCCCTATAATATCTGAGTGATTCACAGACCTTCTATCTTTGTCACCATCTCTTCAGCTAATGCACGTCTGCCATGACCCAAATTACAGTATCTGAGTGTAGTACAAAGCTTCTTTGAATGCATTTATTGCATCTGCGAATGTAAGTTCAGCTTTGTTTAACTCTTTCAGCTCAAGCCTGTTGCAACTTAGTTCCTTAAACCCATCCTTTCCTTTTTAATACAGACTGTAAATCTGCTGAACCAGAAGGAAGTTCACCCCAAAGCCTTTATTGATTCTTCCTAACAGCTCAAGAAGGATGAGAGATTGTGTTCTGCATCTGCAACTACAGTATTCCTAAGGTACTTGAATGTGCCACCATCTTTCAATTTGCGAATTTCTTCTAAAGCAATTTCATTTTCAATGGTCACTTTGGGCTTTTTGTCGTGCATTTCAAATGAAGCCTTCACTCTTTTAGAATTCGTAGTTTCCATTGAATTTACTCCAGGGTCATCCGTTATAGCAGTAGAAGCTCTTCTGATGTTGTCACTATCTACAATGCGCTGGAGCTGTACATTATCTTGAACTTGTCTATTCTTTACTTTTTGATGGCCATTATTATCTTCATTGTCTCCCAAAATTGAGTTAGGACCATTCTTACCACGCGATCTCTTGCAATGTTTTCTGCTGTAATAAGTTACTGCATGTGTATCTCCACCATTGCTGCTTGCACTATTACCACTACTGACCGCCTGACCCCTTTCACTTTGGCAGCTACAATTCACCAAGAAACATGAACAACAGTTATGATTATACTGGCCCAGCTTCTTCTTGAGCCTTTGTACTTCCTTCACAACTTCAGATGGCGTTTTCCACTATCGATAAACAGAACAAGCTAATACCACTATCTTCAAAGCTTGATGCAATTGACCATCCTCCTTGCAGGCTTGAGCAAGTGCCAAATACGATTCCCCAAGTACCAGAACAAGTTTCCACAACTTGTGGTCCAGTTTGGATGTTGGAAGCCATTCTCCAATATCACAAACTTCAATGCAATCAGCATCACCACAAGCACAAACAGAAAAATTCATGTAGGTAGCAGATCAGTAATACCAATAACCTGGTTGTAAAACTCTGGTTCAAGGGTTTGCAGTTGGCGCATCCTTCTGAGAGATTTGATAGCTTGAGAAACATGATGCACAGCTGCTAGCTTAGAGATTGGATCAGTAACAGGTTGAACAACATCATAAGATGCTGAGGACATGTTGTATACCATGAAGTTTTCATGACCATAAATCCTTGGCAATGTTTTTTTTTGTTTTGTAATTTGTCATAAAAGTAGAAAAAGAAATTATTAAAAGTAGTTTTTTTCTGTAAATTTAATAAAATTATGGGAAGTGAAATAAAAAAATTATTAGAGTAGAATTTTTTATAATTTTACAAAATTAGAAGAAAATAAAATGAAAAAAAAGGTAGTAAAAAGTAGTTTTTTAATTTATGAGAATTACAAAAAGTAGAACTTTTTTTTATAATTTTTCAGAATTATATAAAATGTTGAAACAAATATTAAATATTTAAGAGGAATTATAACTTTTTTGGTAATTTAAAAAAAATTAAAGTTTTACATTTTTTTTTAATTATCAAAATTACATAAAAATCCCTCAAAAAACTTATTAAAATGTAATTTATTTTTGTAATTTGTCGTAATATTCATGAGGCTTGACAAATGTGAACAAACGAGATCATATTTTTTTATACAAGCGCTATCTAAGAATAAAAAATGGTTTGAAAATGCTTAAATTTGAATAAGAGTGAAGTCATATTTTTAGATTTCTTTAAAATACACTCCCTTTGCCCCCCCCCCCCCCTTTTATGTCTCAAGATTATGTCTTATTTTTTTTAACAGTTAAAATTCTTACTTTCTTATATTTTAAAATTATTTTTAATGATTTTTTTTTTACTTTTTAACATTAAAAATCATGAAATTTTAATTTTATAAAAAAATTTAATTTTAATATTAATAAGTTAAAGTCAAAAGTTTTTTTCTTAAATTCTGTAAAAGTCAATATAAAACAAATAAATTGAGATGGAGAGAGTATATAAATATAAATGTATATATATATACTCATTTTTTATGATATTAATTAAATTTGATGATTCGTATATTTATGTCATATAAAATATTGATAATTAATGTATTTGTGTTATATTTTACATAAAAATTACGTGTCATAATTTATATCAATACAAAAATATAAAATAAATTTTTAAAATTTTGTTAAACTTATTTATAATTTTACTAAAATTTTAAATTATATCATTTTTATATTTTTTATTTATATTTTTTTCATATTATATCATCATATCATATTTTTAATTATCAGCCTTAATATCAATCATCAATTAATAAGTTTAAAGTTCAAAAAGACCTGGCCTGACCCTAATTAAATAGGGCTTGTGGACTTTGGATGGGCAACTTCTTCTAACTCCATCATTTCTTCCCCTTTTAGGCTTTGCCCCAACCCAATGACTGCTCCTTTTCTTGATATTTTTCTTCATTATAATTTATTTTATAATTCGAATCTTAAACCTAATGCTCTTGTGAAGAATTACACCTGTTTTATTTCTTGATGGAGTACTGGTACATGAATAAGTATAATCATAATTAAATATTTAATTTCATATAAAAATAAATAATTTAAATCAAATAAATCAATCAACTTACGAATTAATTAGTTATTATTATACTTCTTATGCAATGTATGATGAATAAATGCAATAAAAGTTAGACCGTCTTTCATCTTCACACATGAGATACTTTTATACTACTAATGTCCCATAAATATTATATTAATTCGAAATGTTAATCTACTAGTTTTTCAACTCTAATTTAATTATTACTTTAAACCATTGATTGAAATTTAAACTATTCATATACAGTTTTAAAAATTCTTTTAAAAAATTTCATCAATAATAATAATTTAATATTAAAAATTGCCGAGTTTGAAAATATTTAATAAAAAAAAAAAAAAAACTCAAACAATATGAATATTTCTGTAAGTAATTTTATGACAAGTCCTTCGATGGAATCACCGGCCGTGTCACACAAGAGGCTAAATGAGCCATGCCTCAAGAATTTTAGAAGTACTTGAGTCTATATGATGCTATGAATTAATTGTTTTTAATATATCTTAAATTTCTTAATTTTATTTTGGACTCATTAACCCTAGTTCATATGTTTTGATATTTAGCTTGAGAAAGAAAGATATTTAATCATATGGGTAAAAACAATTTTCTTTTGGGTATACCTAGGTACCATTAAACTCTGGCAAGTGTCGGCCACCCAACTCAAAGTCCTAATTTGACACATTGGTGAACATAATGATGCTTTCCTCCCATAAACCATCGATTCTTCCTAAGACCAATGATGACCTTCCAGACATCCAACAACTCGTTCACTGAATGATATTTAACTTTGCATTTAGGTGGATCATATATGCTATCAAATCAATCCACTCCTAGCTAGGGGATATGATCTTACACATCAAATGACATGTTTAATACATTCATTCATATTTCGTTGTTAAATTTCCGTCGTTGATGATTTGTTTTCGTGTAGTGCAAACACAATATATTCATCTACATATATGACGAAATTTATGAAATTTTAATTTTTTTTTATTTCTCGATTCTAGAAATTAATCATTATATTCATTGAGTAGCTACTGACTCAAATTTTCTTTTTTGATTTCTAGTTCCTTGTTTTATTTCCAAAACATTTAACAGATTTTAATTACGTGTGATTTCAAATCGAAATAAATATTTGAAAATTTGTCAATGAGGCTGTATCTCAAAATGACAAAGAAGAATTAATCTTGATTAAGTCTAATACTTAAATTTTATTATATGACGGTTTGTTTAATTAGTTTGTTCATTAATTTTTTTTAATTAGGTTCTAAACCATGCAATGCATGACTTAATTAGATTTTTTTGATTTAATTATGTGATATGTGATTTGATTTCGCTGATGCTTGAGTGATAGTTTAATTTTTATATTATTAATTTATTATATAACTATTTTTTAAATTAAAAGATAAATTTAAGAATTTATTAAAAAACATTTTAATTTTGAATTTGAAAGTCCTAATCAATACTATTTATACATTATTAATAAGAAAAATGAATCCACAACCCTGTTGAATCAATGGAGGCAAAACTCAGTCTAAAATCAGGTTGCCACCTTCTGTCTGTCAAATCGTGACCAAAAATTATCCAAGGACTTTCTTCAATAATAAACTGCAAGTGGAAGATTGAAGAAAAATTTTTTTTTTACAATGTTTAATCTAAAGATTGTATATCCAAGTTGAAATCTCAAATTAAAATCTTTGAAGGTCAACACTCATATACTCTGTTAGGGGTGAAAAAAAAATCATAAAATTTATTTGAAATTATAATACTCGATTCGGTTCAATTCATAATAATTTTTTTTTATGCGATTCAAATCAAATTTTGATATTAAATGTATATATTAAATTATATTGAATTTTGAATAAAAAAATTAAATAAAAAATTGAATCAAATTAAATTATATATATTTTTTAGTTTTTATATATATTTTTTTAAATTTTTATAAAATAAAAAATAATTTTATATCAAAATCTATTAAATTATTAAAATTTTATATTAAAATAATATATAAAAATTAAAAAAATTAAAAAATAAAAATTAATAACTATAATAAAATCAAACTGATAAAATTTAATTTAATTTGAATTGAATTAAATGAAAATTTAATTCAAATTTGGATCGAATTTTAAATTTTTATAATATTATATAATATCTTAAAAATTAAATCAAATTTGATTCGAATCGAATCGTTATTATTTTGAATTTTTTTAAATTTTAAATTTTTAATTTCAATAATCAAATTTTATTATTGACAATTTTAAATATAAAAAAAATAATATCCCTTTAAGAAGGGTCAAAGTTTTGTATAGCTAAAACTTCATGATATATTCCACTGATCTCATCGCTCTATAATTAATCGCGTGACCTATTGATGTTAATCACTATAATCAACACTTTGAACCTCTTCAATCCTTCCAAGGGCCAAATTCTGTAATTAGAAAGACTTTCAAACTTTGAAATATATGATCAAATTAACGTGTGGTCACCAACAAATTCAAGACCAGCTGTTAGCAAGTGATAAGAAGACCTTCACTTCAAAGACTTTCAAACTTTGAAAATCCCAATAAATTTTGTCCCTTTTGTATTTTACTAAAAGAAATCCAAAATATCTTACAGCTAATTTAGCATTGTTTTTGTAATTTAAAAAAATACCTTTAAAATATTGGTAAAAAATGTGGTTAAAAATTTAAGTATTTAATATTATTATAAAAAAATATTATAAATAATTAAAATATCTAAAAAATATGCATAAAATAATAAAAATATTAAAAATATAAAATAATATAATATTTAATATTTTTTATTATAAAACATTTTTTATCGCAAAAGTATTTGTTGAATTTTTTTAATTTGGGTTATAAAGCAAATTTTAAACTAAAAAATTATTATTTTTTATTATTTATCATTGAGATAAGTCAAAAACTTTTCGATAAAAAATAATTTTAAGGAATGCTAAATAAGGCTTTAATAGTTTTCTTTGAGATAAAATTGAGTATATTCTTGGTAAGTAATAATTGCTTCCCCTAACACTCTGCACTCAGTCTCCCATCAAAGTTTCAATGAACTTTTTCGGTTGGTATGCAGCAATTTCCTTTCCAATTTCTATGTATATTCGATAATTTAAAATATTATATAATAATATAATATAAATATAATTTAAAAATAAAATATAAAATAATATAATTTAAAATTTTAATAATTATTATATATAAATTTAATAAAATTAAAAATTTATATTTTATATTTTTATATCAATAATTATAATATATAATTTTTATATAAAATATAATATAAATATAAAAAATTTAATATTTTATATAATAAGAATACATAATCTATTTAAATATATATATTTTTCTATATTAAGGAAGAGGGAGAGAGAAAGAGGAGGAAAAAAGATACTTGGGTTTTGGGAAAGGGATGGCGGCTCCCAGCAACGCACTTCCCATGAACCAATCTGCACAATCTGCCAAATGTCACGTCTTCTGCCAACTAGCACTTCTTACTATGGGCAATACCCTTTAACGTGGCACCCACTTCCTTTACCTTTTTACCTACATAAATACCCCCGACCTTTCTTCTTCAGTCTTTCACTCTTCACTTTCTCACCTTCTGCCACAAAATTTCCTTTTCCTTTTCCTTCACCAAGAAAGAAAATTAAAGAAGCCAAACAAAGGAAAAAGGGCAAGCAATGCCGCGTTTTGGTGTTGTAGACAATCCCAAGGGGGACGGTGCAGTTCATTCAAAAGATAGTTCTCGAGATTTGCGTGACCAACTCCCATCTTTAATGTCTTCCTCTTATCCTATCACTCTCAAGGTCAGTGAGTTCAGTTTGTTAAACTACCCGAGTCAACAAAATGTTGACTCGTTTCATTTTTTAAGAATCATATAGTATAATATATATTTTTTGTTCATGCAGTTCATTGACGTGTGTTACAAGGTGAAGATACAGCAAACCAACAGTCAAGGTAGCAGCATTAAACGCATGTTCAGCCATGGATCAACACCATCGTCTGATCAAAGATCAATGGGTACGATCGAAGAAAAAACAATCTTGAACAATATCACGGGCGTGGTTTCACCAGGAGAAATCTTGGCTATCCTTGGTCCTTCAGGCAGCGGAAAATCTACTCTCCTCAATGCCTTAGCTGGGAGACTCCAACAAGGCAATGGCTTCTCCGGAACTATCCTTGCTAACAACAAAAAACCCACTAAACAAATCGCAAAACGCACCGGATTCGTCACCCAGGATGATGTCCTTTACCCTCACTTGACTGTTCGTGAAACCTTAGTGTTTTGCTCCCTTTTAAGGTTACCCAAAACATTGACCAAAAAAGAGAAGATTTCAGTGGCTGAAATGGTTTTATCCGAGTTGGGATTATCGAAATGTGAAAAAACAATCATTGGGAACAGTTTTATACGTGGTATTTCGGGTGGAGAACGGAAAAGAGTGAGTATAGCCCATGAAATGCTTATAAACCCTAGTCTGTTGATTCTCGATGAACCAACGTCGGGTTTGGACTCGACAGCTGCGCACCGGTTGGTTTCGACTTTGGGGTCGTTGGCTCAAAAGGGGAAGACCATAATAACATCCATGCACCAACCGTCGAGCCTAGTATATCAGATGTTTGACTCAGTGTTGGTTTTGAGTGAAGGAAGGAGTTTGTATTTTGGTAAGGGAAGTGAAGCAATGGCTTATTATGAGTCGGTTGGATTCTCACCGTCTTTTCCTATGAATCCTGCGGATTTCCTCCTTGATCTCGCTAACGGTACGTAAGCTTTAACTTTTGCTTTTGTTGCTGTTGCGTTCTTTTATATATTCAGCTGAGTTAAACTCGAATGAATGACTAGGCTCTCCGTTCTTTTTCTCGATCCTTTTCTGGGTTTCATTTTGAAGACGTTTTCTTGGTGTTTGTTTGGTTAACTATGAAAGAAGGCAGTGAAACAAAGTTTTCAACTTACTTTCAACAATCCGATGAATTTTCCAAAAGAGCATATTGGCCACTTGGTCCACGGGGAAAAACCATAAACAAAAAATAACTTTCCATAATTAAGACAAGATCAACTGGCATACAAATGTTGCATTCTCTCAGTTGATTAAGTGGCATAATTGGTTTTAAAGTATCACTGGGACACACCATGAGTCCTACTGATGTTTTCATTAATTATTTTCTGCCACATATGGTCTTTAGCGAAAACAACGACTTGAAATTCTTAAATCTTAATCCTCATAATGTGTTTGAATGGTCTGCCCCCATTAAGTGTGGCATGTTGCCACTTCAATGTTTTTAATAAAATCGAATTAAAGTTTATTTTAATTTATTCGTGTAATTATTTTTAAAAAATAATATTAAATTTAAAGTTTAAATTCTAAAATTTATAATTTTTTTTTATTTTTAAACTATTTTTTATAAAAATAAAATAAAAAATTTAATAAGCTGTTGCATGTGGACTTAGCCCTTCATTTTAGGGAGCATGGTGTCACTACAAAATAAATAATGTATGACTATAAGACTTTTGTATGATGTCATGCCCTTTTTTTGAGGGCATAATATTAAGCATTATCCTAAGTAGTATGAATGTTAGCTACCTAGTTTGACATATTCTTCCACCAATCATTTTCCAGAGTAGGATTGTCAATGGAGTAAGCCCCCCCTCCCCAAAACCTATCCGGATATCCCTCTCCTTTGGTTACGGCTAAATTCTGGGAAGGAAAGTAGATTACAAGCCTGAGTCGTGGGACCTTAGAGTCCTATCTCTCCTGAGGAGTATGGACGGTATCCTTTCATCTAAAGGATCACATCTATTCCAATTGAATATGATTTAACATGAGCAGGAAAATGATTTGACTTCTATGCAATAATTGGGAGGACCTGGGCGGCGACATTTCATCATATCCTTTCAGGCGAGAGAAACATCCTTAGAGGCTGGAATTGCATACCAAAAACAATTAAGCTATTTTTATAAGAACACAGTTTAGTTTAGTTGTTGCATATAAATTGGATTTATCTTAACATATGAATTTGTTCAAGGGTGAAATTTCTCCAAGCTTCAATCCGTATCTCATGTCATCCCTAGTTGCTAGGTGATTTCAAGCCAACAATTCTCACTCTAGCTTATCAAATAATTGCTGTGTTGGTCTGCTAGGCTGTCTTGTTCCAGTGTTACACTTGTCGCAACTTGACTTTTGCTCTTATTATTAAATTGATCTGACCACCGTTTCTCAAGTAGTTTGTTTCATTCTTTCTTTTCTCTTTAAACCCAACTTTTTCGCTAAACATAGGATATGTTTGAAGAGGAACACGTATTTGGATTGTTTGCATCGTTCATACACCCAAAGTCATAAAAGGGTGGAAAAGTTGCAGTGAGTGGTGGCCCAACCATAATGGCAGGGCAGCACCAACCTGAGTGGACTCCTACCATACCACCAACACTGGTCAGCTTTAATCTTAGCAGTGCTGTTCATTTCTTGTTGGTACATGTCACTTATTCCTACATAAAATATTCATTTGTCCCATCACCAACCTATGAAGAAATAGTGTCAAGGTATGGGATTGGTGAGAGTAAATCCACTAGAAGCTTAATTAGCTGATAAACCTGTTGAACATGTCAAAGAGAAGAGAAAGGTCAAGAGACGTCTGAATTAGGATTTCGAAACGCGTTTTGACGCTCAAAGTGGTAGATATTTTAGAGGAGAAAGAAGAGAAGGTTAAGAAATAAAGAGAGTAATATAGAAGGAGAGTAGTATGCATGTATGATAACATTGTTATCAATACTCTTTAACCTTTTATAATACATGGAAGCCTATGTACATCGTAGGTGCGAGAATAAAAATTGAAAAAATTAGAAATTATAATGTTAAATTTGATTTGGATTGATATTTTATTTTATTTGATTTAAGTTTAAATATTAAATTTTTTTTATTACATTCAAATCAAATTTTAAATTGAAAAAAAAAAAACTAAAAATATTGTAATCGAATTAAATTATATATTTTTATTATATAGTTTTTATTTTTTAAAAATTATTATAAAATAAAATAATTATTTTATATATAAATTTGTTTAAATATATTAAAAATTATTAAAATAATATAAAAAATAAATTCAAAAGAATTCCAACCAAAAATTTAATTCAAATTTAATTTAAATTTTAAAAATTCATAACACTATATCTTATTAAAAAAATTAAATTGAATCCAACAATTAACTTTAACAAATTACGTGTACCTGAGGTCATGTGTTAGATCATGTCTAAATCTCAACAACGTGGCCCTTTTTTCAACTTTTGTGCCTTTGTCCTCGTGGCTAATTCAATGGGGTCTATCATGTTCTTAGTATTAGTTTTCAAAGTTTGTTTGGAAGTACCTTAGTGGGTGGTGATAATGTTTCTAAAACAAGATTTTGTGTTTGTGACTTTCTTACTTCTTTTACTTTTTTGCTATAAAGGAAATCAAACCCCACTCGGCCAGCTTTTTTTAATTATTTAATCTTTTGATCTGTTTAAAATTCGAACACTATTTTAAGTGCTCGATTCAACTCATGTTCATCCATATCTTACATGTTAGGGCATATCCTCTGGGTTCCTTTTCTTCACACTACTGATAAATTTATATATTCTGAAGGTCCTGATCTAGGAACAGTGAGGCAGTTATTTTGCTTTAAGAAATACCATTGGCTTATATATTATTGAGTTTATATTTGATAAACTATCAATATATAGATTTTATATATCATTAATGAATCAGATGACAACACTTCATTAATAAGATAATATCAACCCTTGAAATAAATGTTCACAAATTAAATTTTAAAAAAAAATTATTAATGAGATGTCATCATTTAATTTATCTTATTAGTAAATTATCATCATCTAATTCATTAATAGTGTATAAAATTTACACACTAACTAACAATGCATTAAATATAAATTCCTGTTACTTTATGATTTCAAGTAACTCCTAAAGTCATACTTTAGGATTGGAATTCCAAATACATTTTTAATATCTTGCTCAAATTTTAATTTATGTGTTTAGATTTGATATTTCGTATATTCTTGTTTGTCTATTTTAAAGAACACATAAAACGTAACATCTCACAATTCATATATTTGTATTTGTCTATTTTATATCAAATTTATATAAAACATGAAAATTATAGTATTAACACATTAAATACGAAGATTTTGTTAAACTTATGTACTATTTTTGTCAAATTCATATATTGTTTTTGTTTTCAGTTGGAAAAAAATGACCAGTACTGAAATTACTTATTTGTTGAGTAGATCCTAAACTTTTTTCTATATGTTTCAGGTGTGTGTAAACTTGACGGCATAAGCGAAAGAGAGAGGCCAAACATTAAGCAAACTCTGATCACTTCTTACAACACCCTGTTGGCTCCAAAAGTAAAAGCTGCTTGCATGGATATCACAACTGTTTCAGCAAAAGACACCCAATTGATGGGAAGCCGTAGTTTCAAAGAACACAGGAATAGCAACAGAGTTGACCTTTCTACTTGGTTCAATCAATTCAGCATTCTACTCGAGAGAAGCCTCAAAGAAAGAAAGCATGAATCTTTCAACACTCTCAGAGTCTTCCAAGTAATCACTGCTGCAATGTTAGCCGGTTTAATGTGGTGGCATTCGGATTATCGACATATCCAAGACCGCCTTGGTCTCCTCTTTTTCATTTCCATCTTTTGGGGTGTCTTGCCATCGTTTAATGCAGCATTTGCTTTTCCCCAAGAACGTGCAATCTTTATGAAAGAGCGTGCTTCTGGTATGTACACTTTATCTTCCTATTTCATGGCACGGATAATCGGTGACCTCCCAATGGAGCTTATTCTTCCCACAGTTTTCCTTGTTATGGCTTACTGGATGGCTGGATTGAAACCCGATTTGGTCGCATTTCTTTTGACAATGTTGGTTCTTCTTGGCTACGTACTCGTCTCTCAGGGGCTTGGCCTTGCATTAGGAGCAGCAATCATGGATGCCAAACAGGCTTCAACCATAGTTACTGTCACAATGCTAGCATTTGTTCTAACAGGAGGGTACTATGTGCATAAGGTGCCATCATGCGTGGCATGGATCAAATATATTTCTACAACATATTACAGCTATAAGCTGTTTATTAACGTCCAATACGGCCAAGGCAAGACAATTTCGTCAATGTTGGGTTGCTCATCACACCATGGAATTAGTAATAGAGTTAGCTGCAAGTTTATTGATCAAGACATTGCAGGGCAAATTAGCCCTGAACTGAGTGTGGGAATCTTGCTTCTAATGTTCGTAGGATATAGGTTGTTGGCTTACCTTGCATTAAGGCGTATCAAAGGTTGAAACTTTTGTATTAGTTCACAGCTTCTTGTCATTCATATCGGCCCAAATTTGGATCCCGCTAACTGTAACTGAAGAATCCAAAGTAAAGTTTGCAAATTCACAAAGTACAACAAAGAAACAGTTTGCACTTTTGCAACAACAAATTTTCTTTTATACAAAAGAGGCCGTGGGGGAAAAAAAATGATTACAAGTATTGAAATTTGAAGTGCTCCAAACTAGCATAACTTGTTCGATGCTAGTTCTTAAGGGATCTGCATGAACTCAAAGTAAGGTTCGCAACAACATATTTTTCTTTCCTCTTTATCTGTAAACAAACCTCAATACATGATACAATCAGTAAAGCAGCTCTACAGAATTAGTATAAAATTTGGATTATAAGGCCTGGTTATAGCTTTTCAAGATCGAATAGCAAATAGCCAGCAAGAACCCCCAGTTTCAGGGTTGCAGTTGCTGGAGCTTTTGGGCTTTCTTCACCCAATTTGGGCATAAAACGAGTGTCATTATTGGGTTTTAGTTTCAAGTATAAGTTCTTGCTCTTGGTGGGTTGCTCTATTTAAGGTTGTTTTGGGCAACTAGACTTGTGATATATCTCAGTCCTAAAATTTTTTCTTCTTTTTAACATTAATGAGCTAATTGTCCTTAACCATTGTTAGCTGACCCATTAGTTATTAAGGTTTTATGAAACATAGGTATAAACACTCTTTAGGATAGAAAACACCCAAGAGAGATTGGATGCCAGAAACCCTTTTTTTTTTTTTATTTGAAGTTATCATAATTTAAATCTTAATGATTAAAATTAAAAATGTATTTGGTATATAAAATTATAATATGATAGAATAAAATAATATTATGAATAGAGTTAAATTAAATAATATTATCTTATCTTATATTTAATATATATAAAAATTAAAATATAATAATTTATTTATTGATCAAATTATATTTTTATAAAATTTATATAATTTAAATTATTAATATAATTTTAAAGGTATAATAAGTAATGAAAATTCAATATTATGAATTAAAAATAATTTATGTTAAGAGGATGATTAATATTTTTTATAATCTTATATCTTTTCTTAAATAAAAATTAAATATAATATAAAATTATTGTAGTCATATTTTATCTATTATTTTATACTTCAAATATTACCAAAAAATTTATTATTGTACACATAAATCGTAAAAATCAAAATAAAAATTACAAATATTAAAATTTTAATTTTAAATTTATTGTATCACACTTTTTAAAATGATTACACAAGTAACATAAACAAACTCTAAATTCCAAATTTGATGTAAAAGCTTCCAAACAAAAATAAGTTAATCAATGAATTCTACGTTTTCTGCAAAACAAAAAAAAAAAAAAGTTGAGATGTGAACATTTCAATTTCATTTTATTGTCAAGATTAGGACATGACTATTTGCTCCATGATCGGAAAAACTCACGGAAAAAAGCGATTTAGAGGCCAAAATTGACCGAAACAACGAAGGCACGCAGGACAACGCGGGGGACCCTTCCTCACATGCCGATAACAAATAAAACCAAAGGCCTAATGGGGGCTTTAATCACGTGCACCTCAGCCTGGCTCTGTGTCAGCTAAAGTCCCACTTTTGTCCTCTCCTAGGAATACAAAACACTGGTTAACTTCAGCAAAAAAAAAAAAAAAAAGGGTTAAATTTGAAAAATGGAATTGATAAGGTAAAATATTATAAAATATAGATTCATAAATTTATAATTTATTTAATAAGAGAAGTCGTCATCAATTTTTTATTAAAGTGAAATTGATCATTTAATAAATCTGTCATTTTTAAGATATTTTAAACTTGACTAAGAATCCTTAAGGAATAAGTTTTGATCTATTAATCAAAATAAGATATTAGAGTTCGATTACACATAGAAAAAGTTATAGCATCTTTACATGTCTATCCTAAGATGGTAACATTTACTTTTAAATTATCCTAAAAGTCTATTTTCTAATGGCCTTTTGTCAAATGCTTAATGTTTAATTTTTTAAAGTTTTTCCATCAATCTAGTAAAATTCTTAAAAATACTTATTTACTTCAAGAGTTTTTAAGAATCCTATTTATTTTTTTAAAGAAGCTTCGTCGTCAGAAAGATTTTATCATTTATTTGTTTGTTAAAATTTTGTTTTATTGAAAATATATATAATTCTTTCACTATTTGGGTCAAAATTAGAAATATTTTATCACCTGAAAATCTCTTAGATAATCATCCATTTGTGATTACCTATACTTTCATCCTCGAAATTTATTTTTTATTCTATAAGTTTTATTTCTAAATTTTTCACCACTTAGGTCTATTTAGAAATACCTTACAAGTTTTATTTCTAAATTTTACATTATTTGAAATAAATTTAGAATCTAAACTTTTGTTAATTTCTTAATCTTTGGAAAAAAAAAATAATATGACAATTATTTTTTGAAATCTCATTTAAATTCTTTCACAATTTGGGTTGAATTTAGAAAAAAAAAAAAACTTTTCACTTAGAAATCTTATACAAATTCAACCATTTGTGATTTTTCTTAAGATTTCATCCTTAGATAATTGTCAAATATTTTCACCAAATTTTTAAGTTTAATTTTTAATTTGTATTTGGGAAAAGAATACAATTATTTTTATTAAAATTTCATCTAAATTATTTCACCATTTAAGTCAAATCTAGATAAATTCCTTACCTAAAGATTTATTAAAAAATTTTCATTTGAAATTTTTAGAAATCACATCATTGCATAATATTTAATTCATTCCTAAAATTTATTAAATTTATTTAGATTTTTTTTTATTTTAAAAAATAAATATTAATTATTCTTATTAAACTTTATTTAAAAATTTTCTTCTATTTGGGTCAAATTTAAAAAAAATTTCTCACCTAAAAATTTTTTAAAAATGAACCTAAAAATTAACCATTTGTAATTTTTAAAAATTTCATCATTGGATAATTATTACTTATTCTCAAAAATTTTATTTTTATTTTTTATTTTTTATAATTTTTATAATTTTCCTAGAAATTTAATCATGCAAAAAAAAAAATAAAACAAATAAACAAACAAATAAATAAAATATAAATAAAATAAATAAAATACCCAAAAATGAAATTAGATTGGTTTAGTGGCTAGCTGTGGACTCTAAGATGGCTTGGAGGCTAAACGGCTTGGCCTGTGGCTCAAATGGTGCGGCTTAGTAGTGTCGGGGGTTGATGAGTTAAACGATTAGGTTGAATCAGCTATTGGGTGATGAGCGAGTCACTGAAGTAGGTCAAAATAACCCGACTTTCTTTCCCAATACGATGCTATTTCCTTTATAGTATAAAAGCCAATTTTTCAAGCATTTTCCTTTATTTTCATTTTTTTGTCTCTCTTTCTAGGAAACTAATCTCTTTTTTCTATTTGTAGGTTCCAGACGAAATAAACCAAAAGCTTTAACTTCCTATATTTCGATGCTGGAGGTTCAACCATGCTACTGTCATAGCCACCGTATGTCGTCACCGATCGATCATCGATTTGGACCAAATTTCACATCGGCGCTTGTTTTGGCTTCTCTTTCACGTGGTATAGTTGGTTTCTTCAAAAACTCACTAAAGTTATGTGGATCTGATTTTGAAAGTCGTAGGTTCAAGCTTTGAGATTTTTCCTCCGTCGTTTCGTTAGCCACTGTTTCAAGGTATGTTTTTTCTTTTTTTTTCTTAGCTTTTTCGTTATAAAATTTTTAAGACTCAAATCCTTTTTGACCACTAGAGCCCAATTCCCAGAAAGGATAAGGCATTTTTTTTTCTTTATGTTACTACTGCAATGTTTGTTTCTGTGTTTATCTATTTTTCTTTATAAGTGTATGTTCAGTGGGCAAAAAAAAGCTTGTGTGATGCTAATTTAGTTGCTGATTTTGGTGGTTGCAGGTTGTTGGTGTTTGTTTGCAAGCTCGTGGCTTTTTTAGGACTGGGTTTGTTTACTGGGTTGGTTTGTAGAGAATTGGGTTTATTTGTGTGGGACTTGTTTCATGGTGGTGTAAGGTTTTTGAGTTTGTGACTCTGATGAAAACAAGGTTGGGAACTTGGCTTTTGAGGGTGGTGGCAGTGGCCAAAATAAGAGGAACTATGTTAGCTTTATAAGTGAGATGGTGATCTAAGAGGAGGTGAATTGGATTTTTTCAAATTTTTCTCAAACAATGATTTTTAAGTAATTGAATGGAAATTTAAAGACAATATTAAAATATAATACAAATAATAATAAATTGATAATCTTAAATCAAATGCAAGGTAAAAAGATAGGGATTGAGGAATCAAACATAAAGATTTATTGAGGTTTGGTCTTTTTCTATAAGGTACCTACGTTGTCTCTTTTTGGTTGTCCATACCAAGGTTTCAATCCACTAATCTTGCATTGAAATTAAACTCTATCTTTTTTTCTGTAAAGCTTAAGATAGAAACCTTACACACTTTACTTTTTAGGTTAAGTAACAATCTTTTAATAACAAAAATTCAATAGGATACCTCACCTCATGATTACAAAAACAAAAAACTTAATGAAAATCCAAACTTCGAACACTTTTCAAAGGCTAAGTGTTTGCCTAATGAAGTACAAAGAAATTTGATAAATGAATTAACAACAATGATTTAGATATAATAAATACAAAAATATAGACTTTAAAGCTCTAAAACTCTTGATTTCTTTGAGAGAATGAATATATGGCTTGTTTGATCTTATTTTCTTGATTCATCAACTTTTTTGGTGTATTGGAGTGGCCAATATATAGAGAAATTGAAGAGCTAGCTGTTGGGGATGCTTGGGAAAAGAAAATAGTCGTTGAAAGCTTAAGAAACTAGCTGTTGTGTATATCCTGGGCATGACCCTATCGATCTTTTCCATGAGAAGATCAATTGGCTCATGTTTTGAACTAATTCTCATCTTGAAAAAGCCTACCCGATCAATCCCTTCCTTGAGGGGATCAATTGGTTCACCTTTTGTTACCATTTATGCCTTGCAAAAGTACTAACCGATTGATCCCTTTATGTAGGGGATCAATTGGTTCAAGAGGGTGATCGATCCCCTATATAGGGTGATTGATCTTTTCTTGCCTTTTTAACACAAAAGTGCTTTTACAAGAAAAATCAATTAATCCCTTCCCTGAGGGGATCG